TCTTCCAACCTTTCTTATGCTGACACGTGTCCCCAGCAGACCAAAAATTCCCTATATTTCACTCCTTGAGCCGACCACAGACCTTCCGCTCTTTTGGCCCGACTGCCAATCTACAATAGTATGGGTCCGACCGCCAATCCTCCCGACTTGCGAACCATCTGGCTTGAGGTCTTTCCGCCTTGAGGACTTCCCGACCTGAAAACCTTCCGACTTGAGGTCTTTCCGCCTTGAGGACTTCCCGACCTGAAAACCTTCCGACTTGAGGTCTTTCCGTCTTGAGGACCTCCCGACCTGAAAACCTTCCGACTTGAGGTCTTTCCGTCTTGAGGACTTCCCGACCTGAAAACCTTCCGACTTGAGGTCCTTCCGTCTTGAGGACCTACCGACCTGAGGTCCGTCCGTCCTAATGACTTTCCGTCTTGAAGACCTACCGACCTGAAGACCTTCCGACCTGAGGTCCTTCCGTCTTGAGGACCTACCGACCTGAGGTCCTTCCGTCCTAATGACTTTCCGTCTTAAGGACCTACTGACCTGAAGACCTTCCGACCTGAGGTCTTTCCGTCCTGAGGACCTACCGACCTGAAGTCCTTCCGTCCTGAGGACCTACCGACCTGAGAACCTTCCGTCCTGTATTTTCCTTAGAAATAAATAAATAAATTTATTTTCCTTGATTTCCTCACGGTGTCCTTCAGCCAGTTCAATCAACCCTATTGCCAGGCCCATTCTTCTTTTTTACCTTGGGCTTTTAACCTAATTCTAAATTTCGTACGTAACAGATATATAATTTTTTTTTTAAAAAAAAGTTAACTATCTATGAAATTTTGGTGAATATTATTTAAAAAAAAAAAAAACGTACTCAACCAGAACATTATGTAATTATAAGGTTTAGAAGAGTGTAGAATATGTATAATAAATATATAAAAATACATATTTTTTAATAACAAAAAAAATAATTTGAACTATCTAGAAGGTTCTATTGAATATTATAAAAATAACCGCAAGTTTTGGTTTTTTGTTCAAATTAGGGTTACTTTCTTCTCCATAAACTCTATCCTTCGTCGCCGCTGCCCAGTTGCCTCTGTGATTGGGGATTGCTCGATTATTAGGGCTTCCTGTTTCTATCAGTACTCTCTTCCAAACTTGATTTTGAGTTGATTTAGTTGTGAGATTTTAGTATAATTGCTTTGGGTGTCTGTGTTTGAGCAATGAGACGAGGGGCAACACATTGGAGTGAAACTAAAATTCCGCTGCGGATTTGAGCAACAAACGCAAGATAGAGAAGATAGAGAAACGATCAAATAAAGGGTCTATTATCAACTCCAAATCTACGAACAACACTTCAATCCAGTTCACTGCTTTTTCATCAATACCTTACGAGAGAGAAAGAGAAGAGGAATGAGCTATTGTTTATAACAGTTGGTTGTATATGACCAACCTGAGAGTTGCGAATCATCTTCCCACGACATCTAGATTTTTCGATAAGGTGCCAATAATTCCATTAGTTCCCATTCCTTATTGAATGCCTCCCTAGAACAATATCTTTACTAATTATGCATTTCTAATCATTTATTCGATACTAAAATTGAACTTCCATGACGTGCAGGTCGATGAAGAGCTTCTAGCCGCTCAAACTGAAGAATGCACTGACGGGAACCATAACCTGTCCTATACGGGATTAGTAAGTCCTATGGTCATGTGGAGCTTGATGCATACCAGGTTTGGAGCTCGTGGGTAAGTATATCGATCTTGAAGCTATACTACTTCCATTTTAAGAAGTACAAACATAGTCCTATCTGCAATTGCTTTTTGTTTTTTCAGGTGGACAACGCCTTGTTTCGATAGCTCTGAAGAGGTAGAAGAAGAAGGTAATGGCTGAATTAAGAAAATTCTAATAATTGAAACTTATCACGGATTGACAATGTCATATTTGTTCAGGGACAGTAATCGAAAACAAGATGAAAGTGTTGCAGAAGAAAGACAGCATGTGCAAGATGCAGCCTTCTGAAGAAAATTCAAAGAAATTTTGGAGTATTTGAGGAATCGAGCTCATACTTCTGCAATTGTAGACAACGCTTGTTCCAACAGCTCTGAAGAGGTAGATGATCAAGAAGGTAATGGCTGACCAAAGATATTCAAATTAGAGGCTGGTAGTCTAACCAGAACTTACGTAAAAACCTGAATGAAGATCAATTGCCTTGTGAAAAAAGAAAATTGATCCGCAATGGCAATTTACGAACGATGAATGTATGGACAAAGTTGTAAGATCATGTTTGAGAGGATTACTTCTCGAGTATGTTTGCAAGTGTAAACATTACAATTTCATTATAAACATATCTCTTTTGGCAAGGGGTGGCTAGTTGTTTAAATTTAATGATAACTATGATGCTTTCTAGATAATTTGGTTCGAACCATGTAAATTGTGGGTGAAACGTGCCTTACAAATCATACTTTCTTATTTAATTTGTATATTATGCATATACTTTGTACATGCTAATATGCAGCGTGATTCAGTTATAATTGATTGGCTGTTTTAATTCAGATACAAAATTCTTTTTCGCGAACCACATTATGTGACTGCATTATAAATGATTGGCTGCAATTGAAAGTTTTTCAGTCATGTCGTTTTCTTCTTGGAAACAAATACTTTTCAATTTTGTGCAATTTGTTTATTGTTTCCTTCAATGGGATGTCATGAATGACGCAAGTAGTGCATTCGCTACATGCAAATCAGCATATAAAACACAATAGCTCAACATTTGAAAATAGGCCTTTGTTTTTGTAATACTTTCATACAAAGCAACATAGCAATAAAATTTCCATCATGCATGATTGATAGTTCTGTATAATGATATTTTCTGGCATGGCTGATGTTTAAAACTGGTCTAGGTGTTAAAATTTCTGCATACCTGCGACAATTCTTTCTCGATTTATTGGTTCAATTAGCTAGGATTTTGTATCGTTTCTCATGAGAAAGATGGATAAAACCTTCAGGCTAGGATTCTCTCATTATGATTGGAGATCATCAAGCTTATTTGTATATTAAAAGAACAACTACTTTAGGTGAGTCTGGGAGATACATTTTTCATTTCGTAGAAACAAATATCAATTTCATCTATTGAAATATTCCATTGCATATACCATTCTAAGATTCTGAAAGATGATAAATTTGGTTTCAATTTGCAATTGAAATACATGCAGATGTCATGCTTCATCACTAGTTTTGTTTATTGTAAACCTACATTTACATGTACCGTAATAATGGAGTAAATGATTCACCAAGTTAAGGTATTAAGTTCTAACAAGGCATTCTCGAAGATGCTGGAAATAAATTTAAAATGGAGCTGCAAGATTCTTTGGAGTTATTTCCTCTCTTGGGGTACTATTCTATATATGCATCAAAACATTAAGTGGCAACAGATGTGATACGTTTTTAACAATTTTATTTAATGGTTACATTTTAATTCTATGATGTATTTTTGCACAGTCAAGAGTGGGAGAAGTTGATTTATTGCTGCACGTGTAGGGTTGAGCAACAAAACTTCAGTAGTGGTGGTCGAGGAAACTTGAGCAACAAGCAAGAAACATGTGTCCTCAGTGACAACTTCAAGCACAAAACTCGAGACTGGTGCAGGACGAAGCAGCTCCAGTGGGAGGCAGCGGCGGAGGCACCAAGGGACCCGGACCGTCGCCGCCCCGAAAAAAAGATTTAAATTTTTTTTTAAAATTTGCCCCTCCCCCCTCAAATTTCGTTGGCTGCTGCCTGCATCTAATGGAGTTGAAGAAGAAAACTCTACAAAAAGAAATACAAAATAAAAACAAAATAAAAGAAAAAATTAAAAAGTATATGTCAGTACCCTAAATCCTATTGGTCTATCTTATCCTCATCATTTATGGGTTTAAACAAATAAATTATTTTTTAAATTATATATCAATAAATAAAATCATTATATTATTATTTATAAAAAAATATATAATAAATATTGTTGTGTTTACGCAGACCCCTACACCCCCTCTCCTCAATTCAATTTTTCTTCTATCACTTCATCCTCCTCCAGACTCCAGTTTTTCCTTCTCACATTTCTACTTTTTTCTCTTTTCTTGGCCATTTGGATCGGAATATCGGCATGAGGAAAATGATTGAAGCTTGAAGGCACTGTGTATGACTTATATTTGTATTTGTATCAGAAAAAAAAAAAAAAAATCATTTAGGTAAGTATATTTTATTTTCACCTAAATACACGATTTTATTTTTTAACTCTAGTTTTGCGGTTTGTCTAATGCTACAATCTTTGATTTCTGTTTCAGACTTCTCCTGTCTCTTGTTGGGTGTAAATTTGTAAGTATATTTTTAGGATTTATATTTTTATAAAATTATATAGTTTGTCTTTATTTGTTTAAATATGAATTTTATTTGTTATGCTCCTTTTTTTTATTATTTACGGCAATATGAAAAGATGTTTTCTTCCAAAAATTCTAAATCAAAAGATGCTACTTAAAATTCTATCGAGCCAAATTCTAGTATTAATGTTAATGAGATTATAAAAAAGCAGCGGGCATAATTAGATGAGGAGAATGATATTATTGGTGATCCTAATATTCGAAACCAATTGATAGTTATCCTGTTGAAATCAAAGATGAATTGAGGCGACGATATTTGGCCAATGGACCTCGTCAACTATTAGGACATGATTTTCCGCTAAGTCAATATGGTGAGGGTAAACGACAATTTCAAGAGGCATGGTTCAAAAGTTTTGTCTGGTTAGAATATAGTGTGTCTAAAGGTGTTGTCTTTTGTCTTCGGTGCTATTTGTTTGGTGAAGACCATTAACATGGAGAGAATGCATTCACTAGATTTAGAAATTGGAAAAAGGCTATTAAAAAATTCGAGGAGCACGAGGGTGGTGGAAATAGTTCACATAATTATGCTAGAGCTAAATGCTTTAGATATAAAGATCAAAAGCATAATGTGGATTATGTGTTTGCGCAAAAAAAGTAGTGAAATGGAGATTGCTTATAGCACCCAGTTAACTGTTGTTGTTGATATAATTAGATATCTTCTGGGACAAGGCTTAGCTTTTCATGGACATGACGAGTCATCACAATCTGTGCATCGAGGTAACTTTCTTGAACTCATCAGTTGGTATTGTAAGAGAAATGAAAAGTAAATAGTGTAATGAATTCAAATGCTCCTGCCAACAATCAACTAACTTCTCCGGATATTAAAAAGAAAATTATCAATGCATGTGCTACAGAGGTGAGAAATGTGATTTTGAATGAAATTGGAGATAAATATTTCTCTCTTTTAATTGATGAGGTGCGAGATAGTTCGGTAATGGAGCAAATGTCGATAATTCTGAGATTTGTGAATGATGATGGATAAGTGATTGAACGATTTTTTGGTGTAGTACATGTTAGTGATACTTGTTCGCAATCTTTGAAAAATGCTATTGATGAGTTTTTTGCAAAGAATTGGTTGTCATTATCAAGACTAAGAGGTCAAGGCTACGATGGTGCATCTAATATGCGAGGTGAGTTCAATGGACTTAAAGCACTTATTTTAAAGGAAAATGGGCATGCACACTATATCCATTATTTTTCTCCCCAACTTGAATTAGTTGTTGTTGCTAGCGTGAGCAAAAATGCGTATGTCTTAAATTTTTTTGAGTACCTTTCTATGATTGTTAATGTTGTCGGAGCTTAATGTAAAAATAGAGATAATTTGATACAACAACATGATGCTCGTGTCATACGTAGAGTGGAAGGTGGTGTTTTGATAGGAAAAGGAAAGAATCAAGAAATGGCCTTAGCTCGAGCTTGTGATACTCGTTGGGGTTCTCACTTCAAGACAATTCTTCGACTTTTTTAATTACGGGATGTGGTGAAAAAAGTGATTCAGGCAGTATTTGAGGATGGTGATGATCCAAAGAGTCGATCTGTTGCGGTTAGTTTGATTGATAAGATGGAGAGCTTTGAATTTATATTCATTGGCCATTTGATGATGCGTTTATTAGGAATGACAAATGTTTTCTCACAAACTTTACAACAGAAGAATCAAAACATATCTCTTGTTGTGCGCTTGATACAGTCATTGAAAGATGAATTGGGGGAATTTAGAAATAATGGTTGGGATGAGTTTTTGAAGGAAGTAACTGAATTTTGTTTTAAAAATGAGATTTTCGTGCCTAATATGGAAGATGTTATACCGGGTCGGGCAAGAAGAACATTGGATGGGAAGGGAAAGACTTATATTCACCATTTTCGTGTAGAGATATTTTTACAGGTAATTAAATTCTTGTTCATTTTATAACGATATTCAATTACTATTTTATAGTATTAATTTTGTTGATATTATTTCTCAAGAAATGAATGCCCGATTTTCTGAGTTGAATTATGAGCTGATTATGTGCATAGCTTGCCTTGATCCTTCATTTGCTAGCTTTGATCTTGAACAGATATTCCACATGGCTGAGTTGTACTCAGATGACTTTACCAGGGAGAATCTAATGGAATTGAGATTACAACTTCGATCCTACATTCATTATGTGCGAAGAGAATCAGATTTCTCAAATCTTTCTGACATTGAAGGTCTTGCAAATAAGATGGTTGAGTTCAAAGCTGATACTGCTTTTTATTTGATATATCGGCTTATAGTATTAGCATTGGTCTTGCCCGTCACAACGGCAACAGTCGAAAGATCTTTTTCTGCTATGAAGATTATAAAGATTGATTTGCGTAACACAATGGGAGATAGATTTCTTGCGGATTGTCTAGTATGTTATATTGAAAAAAATATTTTTGTAAAATGTGAAATCGAAAAGATTTTACAGAGATTTCACAATATGGCGACGCGACGATTACAATTGTCGCACCGGATGTAAAAAAATATTTCCAATTTTTTCTAATATTTTACTTTTTATTATTAAGAGAAGCCCCTCCGACTTCAATGCTCTGGCTCCGCCACTGGTAACATATGAAGAAAGTGATTTATTGCTGCATGTGTAGGGTTGAGCAACAAAACTTCAGTATTGGTGGTCGAGGAAACCTGAGCAACAAGCACAAAACATGGGTCCTAAGTGACAACTTCAAGTGTGGAGCTAACTTTAATGGTGATTTGGGCAGTCGGCATCCTGACCGTGGCCCATATTAATTGGCTCCAACATAGAAAGATAGGTATGGTTAAGGCCATCCTTTGATGATGACTCGAGACTGGTGCAGCCGAAGCATCTCCAGTGGGAGGATGAAACCAATCAAGGCATGCTTTACACTGGTGCAAATGTTCACAATTCTTCAATTAACTTGAAAATGGTGCAAATATCTTCAGGAATCCTCAGTGAAGTCACGTCTGTTACGCTTAAAGCATCTGCATTTGAAGACAAAACTTCACGTCAAGGAGTATTAAGGCATCACATTTTTCATCAACAAATTTTCCATCAACATAAATTAACCCATCCACTCATATTTTCCAGGTAATTAATTAATTAAATATATCCATACATTCATATAAATTGCAAGTTTAAATTAAAGCATGAAGACAACACTTGTTTTTTCTCTAAATTACTCCTTACCTAACAGGACCTAAATACACCAACGGACATCAGCCTTTTATTTTAAAGCACAAAAATACATTGGATACTTCAAAAATTAAAATCACCATTCAATCCTAATATAAATGGCTTTATATTTGTGTAACCTCTACCCTTTAACACCCTTATTCTGGTGAAACACCCAAGAATTATTAATAAAATTCATCGATACATTCGTATAAATTTCAAGTTTAATAAATAGAAATGGATGATCGATAAGGAGATCAGACCACTGTACTATATTAAAGACCATCCATGGAGAAGTAGTTGTAGAGAGTGGAGGTGAAGGGCTTCATTGGGGACGATTAATGAAGTTTTGGTCTTGAAATTTCTGCTAAATTATGGAAAAGTGTTAGAGACATTATCCTCATATGATATCGACTAATGCACTTTATTTATTTATTTGTTAGCATATACCAAGTAAATTTTGCAATACTCGTTAATTTGCCAGCCTGCAATGCATCTATTACATTGGTGGATGTATTAAAGAACTTTTAGAAAAGTAAACATCAAGATTCAATTTTGTTTTTCTCATTTGTTATGCTTATGTATTTCTTTAGATGAGTTTGAATTTGATGCGTAATTACGGTATTCCTATCTAATATTTTACATATTGCAGCCTATTTCAAAAAAAAAAAAAAAAAACTTTATGTAAAATTAGTCTGGATGATTAATTCTAATGTTTTTCAAATTAAAAGTATTAATATTTTCAAATTATTTATAATTTATAATATTATTATATTTTTAATGACATTAACTATATATATAGAGTACTTATAGGATAACTAATATGCATATTAGCGTTCATAAATGAGTAATTCATTAAATAAATAAATAAATAAAATTTGTCTCCGAAACTAATATTTTAAATTATATATTAACCTTTCTATTGCATTATAAAAACTTTTGTGCAGTAAAATTAAAAGTAATATATATATATATTATGATTTTAGGTGACAAGGTCGTTCAACATCCGACATAGTATTAGAGTCTGGCTAGGTCCGCCATTGTCCTTTACAATAACGAAATGTGATTTCTTTGCTGACAGATTTTTATATTTTTCATTGATTTTGTAGCAAAAAAAATTTAGCAACGAAAATATGATATTCGTAGCCAAAAGGTTTTAGTTACAAAAATCAAAATTTGTAGCAAAAGAGTGTTTGCTTCAAAACTAGATTTTAAAGCCAAAAAATTAGAACTACAATGTAAACTTTTCATAGCATAATAATTTTTGCTACAAAGAAAAAAAATAATTCCATAGCAAAAGAGCTTTAGTTACAAAATTCTAATTTTCTAGCTAAATCATATTACTTGCGAAATTTAATTTTCGTAGCAAAATAATTTTAGCAAAAAAAAAAAAGATTTTGTAGCAAAATTATATTAGCTATAGCTATAAAAGTAGAATTTCGTATTGAAAAATGAGAAAAACAATTAAATCAAAAATCCAAATTTTAATTCTTCGAAAGAATACAAAGAAAATAAAGATACAACCATGCTGGAAGTAAAATTCATGAAAGAGATCAGATTGCTTGCTGATTGCAATTACACTAATCATTTGAATTCCAGATTTCACGACTTCTAAGTCTGGCAAGATTAAGGCTCATTTTTAGGTAGCTGTCCTTGTGTCAAAGCGGCTACCTTCATTACCAGCCTCGTCAAGCCTAACCTTTTCAATACATCTATCTCGCCACCGTTGCATTCTAAACCGGATCCAACTGTCTCTACGGCAACAGACAAGATCTCGTGTTAAACCAGGTAGGGATGCCGAATGATGCTATAGAAGGCACAGAATATGTGTATGAATGCATATAGTATAACAAACCAAAATATTTTGTGGCGTTAGAGGTGTAAGATATATACAGCAGAGAGCTTCTGCAATATATACTGAAAATCTATGCTGCCTGAATTCAGTACCTATGAGTACAATAACCAAAGAAAATGTGATTTGGCTTTAGTGTCCAAAAATAAAAAGGATACTAAAGCTTGGATCAATAGGTAAACCAAAACAATTAGTTCTGCACCCGAGAAAGGCTTTCCAAGTTGATATCTTCAATAACTTCCTGCTTCCATCTCTGGGGAACCATTACATAGATTTCGTCCCGCACTTTTGTCATCAATTTCAGTACATGACTGTAGTCGGGATTATCCTGTTTGATAGATTGAATAATCCAATCCCAGTAGGCATTCTCCATTATATTCTCTTTCCACTTTTCCTGGTCATGGTGCAAGCTATTAAAATGTGGTAATTAAGAACCTGGTCATGGTGCAAGCTATTAAAATGTGGTAATTAAGAACCATTAGATAATAGACCAAAATAATTAATAAATATATAAAAAGAAATAAACAAAACAACATACAACATTACTAAACAAATAAAAGAAAGAAGACGAAAGTTCACTAACCATGTAAATTAGGTATTTTCCAGGCAAACTGGGATCATAAAAAAGGGCAATGTGTTCTCCATGGACATATTCATTAACAATGACTGCATTTTTCATGTCCAAACTCTTCCCAGGATATTTTGAAATGCTATGCAATGTTTTTGACTTCATTTGTATTTGTCCCATCCCTGAATATGAATACGGACTCTACTCTCTCTGTAGCAACAGCTGTTGGTTCACCTTCTTTGTCTGAGCTACTAGAAGAAGGGGAAATCAGAGAAGAAGATGAGATAAATGCAGACAGTGGTGTGATTAAGCTTCTGGTTTCCTTTGCATTAAATAATTTCACGATAGACTCCTCAGAAAGTGTTTTCTCCAAACCTTCAATGTCCGCATCTGCACTTAGCTGTAGGATTTTCTCCCTCAAAAGTTTCTGATCTTCAGATACCTGCATGCAGGGTTATCATAATTTCAGAGTAAACCACAAAATAGTTGAAAAGGCCTTAATTTCAGAAATGAATGGAAGTGCATTATCCCTTACCTTTGAAAGTTCAGGTGTATCTTTTACTAAGAAACAAAGGATGAATTGATTTCCCCGAAGGATTTAAGATATGGGGAGGACACTCATTTGACGCCATATGAAGAAATTGAGCTACTTTTTTTTATTATCCATACTCACCACCCCTTGCCAAAAACGATATGTTTCTGATGAAAAGTTTTACTATGTCACTTGCAAACATACTTGGGCAGCATCAGCCATCTTACAACTTTTTCTACACATTCTTCATCCATAACCAACAATAACAAATAGTCAATCATCATTCTTATTTTTTCAAAAGGCAATAGATCTAAATGTTGTACATAAAAATTTCACATCGACTTCCTTCCGTAACCTTTTTTAGACCCTCAGCATCCATCCATGGTACCTTCAATGACCCCATCTTTATTATTTAGTAACTCATAAATCCTTTCCTCGATAGTTTCTTGCATAATGAACTTTATCGCATATATTGGTAGTTCATCCTGATTCAAAATTTCTTAGACTTATGTATGGATCCTGGTTGAGAACAATGTTAATTGCAGTTCGTTTGCTTCCAAGATGGAAATTCTGTTGATCCAGATATCCCAAATTTGAATCAATTCATTTTTTTTTAGGAAGAATCCTCTGTTGTCAATCCATCCCCCAACAAATTACTGGCCCGGGATTAAAATCAAGCTTTGGAGGAGATTCCTGAGAAATTTCATCACTCAAATCGAGTAGACTTTAGGAGAAGATTATTCCCTTCTTACATGATATATATATATATATATTTAGAAGGGTGACTGTGTATTCAGGTTTTTCCATACCGGTTTAAGGTGTCATCGATGTTCTGGTTCGAGAATAAACCTTTGCTTGTGTCTGATTCCTCTTCTCTTTCGATGGTAAGTTAAGAATGAAAAAATAGCGAATTGGATTGTAGTATTGTTGGAAGGTTTGGAGTTGATTACATGCCTCTGGATGGGCCTGAGATTGAGTATCTTGGAGACCAGATTAATGGTTGAATAAATGGATAGATAGAAGTTAGATTGAATAATTCATTGAATTAGATCTCGTATTTAAATCAAATTTAAATATTGTTGGAATAGTGATTTATCGAACAAAACACATTCGAACACTTTAAAGCGCCAACTCCCGAAGCGTGGGCGATTCACAGTTATAACTACATACATAAAACAACAATAAGACAAGGTGTTTGTTGACCCGGTTCGATTATCAACCAATCCACATCCGGGGGATACCAATCCAGGAGGAATTCCACTAACCAGTGCTAATTAAGGATACAAACAACCACAACTCATTTAACTCTAATGCTATTCATGGCTAACCCAGGAAAATACCTCATAAGGTTCTCGTTGTTACAACCTTGTACTAACAACAACCACATAGCAGAGAATTCCAGAGCTTGATCATTCCCTTCGGTTGGAACTCTATTAATTCCGAACACCTTCGACCTCTCCGGCGAATTTTTCTGTCAAAAACTCATTCAAAAATAAAGAGAATCAATATGGATAGATGGATAAGAGCTTCACACAATATTCTTCTCTCTAAAGTATGATCTCCAAATCACACATTACCAATCTTCAACCCTATCCGGTTGAGTAAATCACTCACATTCCTGGAATAAAAGATTCCACACTAATTTTCCTTTGCACCGTAATGGAAGGAGTGAGTTTCCATATTTTGATCTTTCCTTCAATATGTCTTTTGTCTTTTGGAAAGTCTTTATTGCAGAAATTAAGACACCATTAGTTCATATGCCAAAATAACTTAGGGGAATTTTCATTCACATTCTCCCCCTTTTTGGCATATAAAACCACGAATAAAAGTGCATGAATTAACCTACTCACGCACTCAATCATCCAAGAGTGAGTCCAACTATTGCATGCCAACAAACATAAAAAGGCTACAGACAACCTTCACATTGATATGGTTGTAATCACTTCGGACTTCCAACGAAAATAGTAACAGATAAAATCAACAATCAGCAAAGCAGATAACATCAGAACTTGGGCAACTCCCCCTGAAAATATGATCTCCCATTTTCCTGCATTACTCCCCCTTCGTGGGAGCAGATGACAAAAAAAACAAGTACCTTCAATTTGTTGAGAAATGGTTGCAGTAGCAACTTTATCACCGTCACCAGCAACTATTCCAACAATATCATCAAGATTTTTAGTTGTTTCAAAAACAATTTCACTTGTTCCATTTTCACGAATTCCTTCTCATTTGGTCCACTGAAAAATACTTGCAGCAGCAACATCAACATCAGCTGCATCACCAACATAAACAATAGCAGCAACTCTGGTTGATTCGACATCAGATTTGTTGTAGCAGCAACTTCGCAGCATCAACAATGATTTGTGCAACAACACAAGGCCTAGAAAATTTTCAAAATCCAGTGTAGGACTAAAATGTCCTCCACGTCGAATCAATCCATAACCAAAACATCAACCATGGCATCAAATGTGACTCTTGCCATTGCTCAATAAAAGTCTCTCCGCAACACTTCTTCTTTTTGGATTTTTTCAAAAAATCTTTTCAAATTATTTTCATTCTCCAATATTCACCAAGAATATCCCAATCAATATAAATATATTGGAGAATTTATCAAGCCCATGCATGCAGATCAGTTAGGGCAGAAGCACATACCAAGGTCTCTTCGAAGTTGTTCAAACCGATCGCCGTCGAGACTTTTTGTAAATATATCCGCCTTCCGCTCAAGTGTTCCAACATGTTGTAAATCATAGATCCCCCTCTCCACCAAATCTCTGATGAAGTGGTAACGGATGTCAATGTGCTTGGTTCTCCCATGTTGGATAGGATTTTTAGATATGTTGATGGCGCTTGTATTATCACATAGAAGAGTGAATGAGTCTTGATCAATTTCGTAATCCTTAAGCATCTGACGAATCCACATCAGTTGGGCACAGCAGCTCCCAGCAACAATGTACTCCGCCTCGGCAGTGGACAGTGCAACTGCATTTTTTTTCTTCGAATTCCAGCTCATAAGGTTGTCTCCGATGTAAAAACATCCACCAGTTGTGCTTTTCCTGTCATCACAACAACCTGCCCAGTCTGAATCAGTAAAGCCAATAAGGTCACCTGTTCGAGTACCACAGTCCAAGCTCTGCTGTCCCTTTAATGTATCTGAGAATCTTCTTAGCAGCCTTCATATGAGATTCCTTCGGTGCCGATTGAAATCTTGCACAGACACCCACACTAAATGAAATATCTGGACGACTGGCAGTTAAGTATAGCAAGCTGCCAATCATACTTCTATACAATTTCCAATCGATTGGTTTTCCATCTTCATCCTTTGACATCTTATCGTGTTGTCCGAGGGGTGTTCTAACAACCTTTGCATCACGAAGCCCGAACTTCTCAATCATGTTTTGAGCATACTTCGTTTGGCTCATCAGACAGTTGTTTCACTTGTAAGCCCATAAAATAGTTAAGCTCTCCCATCATGCTCATTTCAAATTCAGCCTCCATAAATCTCACGAATTCCTTTCTCAAGAACTCAGTCGTTGACCCAAACACAATGTCATCAACATAAACCTGTGCAATAATCAGATCATCCCCTTTTAGCTTAATGAACAATGTCTTGTCTGTTGACCCACGAACATACTCCTTCTCCAGCAGGAAATTGGACAGTCTTTCATACCAAGCTCTTAGAGCTTGCTTCAATCCATAGAGAGCTTTCCTTAGACGATACACGTGATGAGGATGAAATGGATCTTCAAATCCCTTTGGTTGTTCGACATAGATCTCCTCCTTGATCCATCCATTGAGGAATGTTGTTTTCACATCCATTTGAAATAGAGTGAATCCTAAAGAGCATGGAACAGACACCAACAATCTTACAGCCTCTATACGAGCAACTGGGGCGAATGTCTCATCGTAGTCAACACCTTCTATTTGTGTGTATCCCTGCGCTACCAATCTCGCCTTATTTCTGGTGATATTTCCCTTTTCATCTGACATGTTCTTGAAGATCCACTTGGTTCCAATCACGTTCGTATCTGCAGGTCTCTTCACCAGATACAAAACTTGGTTTCTTTCAAATTGGTTCAATTCATCATGCATGGCATTGATCCAATATTCATCCGAAAGGGCCTCATCAACTGTTTTTGGCTCCACTGTATAAACAAAGCAGTTCAAACCAGATAAATCTTTGAAGTTAATCTTTTTACCTCTGGTGACGCGTCCACCTTTTGGATCACCGATGATAGCATCTGCAGGATGGTTCTGTGGTATTCTAGAACCATATTTTCTCACTTCTGCATCAGATTCAATCTCTGCAGGTTGTTGATTGGTTGTAGTAACATCTGTTGAACACTCTGGTTCTGACCAGTCGAATCTAACTGAACTTTCAACAGCATCACTGTCACCAGTCTGATATGGTTCATTCTGAATTTGAGGAATATTCTGCACATTTGAAGAATTCTGAATCACTTTGGTAGAGATACCATCATCATCATCATCATCACTTGGATGTATAGATTTCTTTTCTGAAATAGCATCATCAAATATCACATTCACGGATTCCATCACTTTCTTGGTTCGATTGTTGTAAACTCTGTAAGCCCTTGAGTTCAACAGGTATCCAAGAAAAATTCCATCGTCTGAACGAGTATAAAATTTATGAAGATGATCTCGATCCTTCATAATGTAGCACTTGCACCCAAAAGTATGAAAGTATGAAATATTTGGCTTTTTACCATTCCATATTTCATATGGTGTCTTCTCTGTGTGTGGTCTGAGATACACTCGATTGACGACATAGCAAGCTGTGTTCACAGCTTCTATCCACAGAGACTTGGCAACCCCTTTGGCATGCATGATCGACCTTGCCATCTCCTGTAGAGTACGATTCTTCCTCTCAACTACTCCGTTCTATCGAGGTGTCTTTGGAGCAGAATATTCATGTTTAATTCCAAGCCCATCACATAAAGTAACAAATCTCTTATTCCTTCCCATGATCAGTCCTTAACCTATTGATCTTTGATTTCTTTTCATTCATGAGCCTTGTACTCAATTTTTCAAATGCATCAAAGGCTCCACTCTTTTCACGCAAGAAATCCACCCATGTATATCTAGAAAAATCATCAACACAGAAAAGAATGTATTTCTTACCCCCAAGGCTACATACGTCGACTGGACCTATGAAATCCATGTGTAGTAACTACAAACACTGGTTGCTTGAACGTTGTTCTAACAACGGATGAACAACTCTCTTCTGCTTTCCTCGAGCACAGTCACCACAAGTGGTGCCATAACATGGTTTCATCATCCTCTGATAGCTCCGAGTTTACTGATCCTCAACAAATTCTATGGATTAACATGACCCAACCTGGTGTGCCATAACATGGTTTCATCATCCTTCAAGATTAGTGCTTCCATCTTCGGGTATTCCAGCAGGTAGCAGTTATTCTTTGATCGTACACCAGTCATGACTCGTTTCTGCTCATCATTATACACTTCACATGAGTCCTTTGTAAACTTTACATGCAAGTTATCATCACAGAGCTAGCTTATACTTATCAGATTCGTACTCAATCCTTCAACAAAGTATACCTTTGAAAGTCTTGGAATTCCTTCTTTCTCAAGAATGCCATATCCACTGATTTTCCCTCTTGCACTATCACCAAAGATAACATCACTGCTTCTGTCTTCAACAAAGTTTTTCAGCAACCCTTTTTGCTTCGTTATGTGTCGAGAGCATCCACTATCAAAGTACCATCGATCAGCTCGTGTAGATTCTTGGCTCGACAGAATCACATTACATTCCATTTGCTTATGATCCTTCTTAGGAATGCATACCAGTCCGACTTTGATGTTCTGCTTTAATCCTTCTGTAGGCCATCGAATGTTTCTCCCACTCATTACATCATTGATTAACTTGTAATATCTTTCAACAACATGTCCAGGAAGTCTGCAGTAGTTGCAGTCAGTAGGTCGAGATGACTGTTTTCTAGTAACCTAATTTTTTATGAACTTTCCAGTCTCATTCTTTTTCTTGTTCCTTTCTAGTTCCTGAGTTTGAGCAGGTGTTGGTTTCTTCCCTGGAAGTGGAAGTTTGACATTTGTTAACAAACCACCCCGCACAAATGTAGTGGATTTTCTGTGTGAAGATTCACAAAATCCAACTCCTTTGTGATCATCAAAAGGTTTCCCAATTGAAAGTATTTCATCCAACTTTTCTTTTCCTTTCCGAAGACGATCATTCTCATCTTTTAGCCTCAAATTTTCATTCATCAAAGCATCTGATTCAGTTGATTTAACAGCAACATCCTTCTTCAGAACTTCGATCTCATCTTGTAATTTGAGCTTCCAATCAATAGATGGTATCAACTAGCTCTTTGTTCTTCACCACAAATTTCTTTTGCTCTAACACCATCTCCTCATAGGCTTCAATCAACTCATAAGCATTAAGTTCTATGGATTCCTCTGAAGCTTTATCAGTAGAAGCACCATCATGTTTAATAAAATCAGATTCATCGGCCATGAAAGCAACAACTTCATCATCTTCAGCTTGTTCCTCGACACAGACAGTTTCCTCTTCATCATTGTCACTCCATGTTGCTTGATATGCTCTTTTCTCCCTTTTCTTTCCTGTCGGACATTCAGCCTTGATATGACCGATTCCTCCTCATCCATAGCATGTTGCCTCTTTGAAAGATTCAGGTTTAGGGGACACAGTGAACTTCTTCTTGAATCCACCATAAAACTTCTCTTTTTGCTTGCTGTAATTTGATGGTTTCTGTTCAGAGTATTTCCGTTGTGAGCTAGAAGTACTCACACTTTGATAACCACCACGGTTCTGAAGTTTCCCATATTTCATCTTTGCTGCATGTTTCTCACTAATCATCCTTGAAAGTTTTCGACTCAGAAATGCCATTTCCTCATCAGATTCGATCAGCTCCATGTCCTCCACACTTAAGGCCATGCTTTTTGGAGTTTCATCTCCAAGATAATTCATTTCATAGCTCACCAATGTACCATATAATTCATCCAACGTCATATTTTTCAGCTTTGGTGGTTCGTCGAGCATAATCACCTTTGGCCTGAAATTTTTTGTGAGACTTTTAAGCATCTTCCTCACCAGCCTCTTTTCTTCAAAGTGCATTCCAAAAGCTTCTGCTTGATTGACAACATCCATAAAGCGATTATAGTAAACAGCGATTGTTTCGTCCTCATTCATCTTCATTCCTTCGAACAATGTTTCGACATGATCTAGTTTAGATTCTCGGACTTGCGCTGAACCTTCGAATGCATTTTCCAGAATGTCCCAAGCTTCCTTGGCAATTTTGCAGTTTGATATAAGCTTCGTTTGAGTTTCATCCATAGCATTAAAAATCGAAAGTAGGGCCTTCGAGTTTGCTATTCCAGCAGCTTTTTCATTCAACGTCCATTCTCTCTTCGGTTTCTTCACAAGAGTAGTAACACCATCTTCATCTTGAATCGTTTTCATAGGATGAGACCATGCACACTCAACAGCATCAGAAACGTCTTCACCTTGAAGCATCAGAAACACCTTCCTTCCTTACTCATGTCTGCAACTGTGACCAGATCTACTCAATGAATTAGAGAACACTGCTCTGATACGAGATGTTGGGATAGTGATTTATCGAACAAAACACATTCGAACACTTTAAAGGGCCAATTCCCGAAGCGTGGACGGTTCACAGTTATAACTACGTTTCAACAACGAAAAACAATGCAAAACATAAAACAACAATAAGACAAGGTGTTTGTTGACCCGGTTTGATTATCAACCAATCTACATCCGGGGGATACCAATCCAGGAGGAATTCCACTAACCAGTGCTGATTAAGGACACAAACAACCACAACTCATTTAACTCTAATGCTAGTCATGGCTAACCCAGGAAAATACCTCATAAGGTTCTCGTTGCTACAACCTTGTACTAACAACAACCACATAGCGGAGAATTCTAGAGCTTGATCATTCCCTCCGGTTGAAACTCCATTAATTCCGAACACCTTCGACCTCTCCGGCGAATTTTTCTGTCAAAAACTCATTCAAAACTAAAGAGAATCAATATGGATAGATGGATAAGAGCTTCACACAATATTCTTCTTTCTAAAGTATGATCTCCAAATCACACATTACCAATCTTCAACACTATCCGGTTGAGTAAATCACTCACATTCCTGGAATAAAAGATTACACACTAATTTTCCTTTGCACCGTAATGGAATGAGTGAGTTTCCATATTTTGATCTTTCCTTCAATATGTCTTTTGTCTTTTGGAAAATCTTTGCTGCACAAATTAAGACACCTTTAGTTCATATGCCAAAATAACTTAGGGGAATTTCCATTCACAAATATGATATACAAGTAAACCTTTTGCTTGCTTGGATTTTTTAGTTGTTTTCCAAGGGTAAAATTTTGTTAGATTTTATTTTGATATTTGAGCTGTTTTCCAATGGTAAAATTTTGCTAGATCTCATTAGTATTTTATTTTGATTTTTCTTAAAAAAAGGTTTATAAATTATATTTAAAAATAACAATAATATTTATTTTATAAATTATATTTAAAGGTACGGGACAGTGGAATTTTAAATTAGAATGAAGTTTTATATTTTTTATATTTCTTAAGTTGTAATTTTAGAGAAAATTTGGAAGTGTTTGAAACTTTGAGATAATTTGAAATTAATACAGAATTATATGAAGAAAATAGGTGTTGATTATTTGGATGAATGCATAATTTTCCAATTGGAGTTACCACCAATATTATTATTATTATTATTATTTAATTAAGACATGTAGGGTTTGCTTGTTTGGTACAGATTAATATTATTCTAAAAAAAAATTAATATTTTACGCACTCATTATTTTTGTATTAAGTACACAATTTTTTATACTGAAAAAATATTCATTAAAATCATTTCACAATTAAAACAAAGCCTTATATTTATGCCATAATTTTTTAAAAAAAATTATATACAAAAGTATTGAATTGGAATATTGTATGAATTATTCTTGGAGAAAATAGAAAAGATTATATACAAACGGTAGAAAAATTTAAAGTATATTGACCTAAGTAAATAAATATTATAAAACATGAAAAAAATATATATAAAAATAACTTGAGAGTGTCCGGAACTTCGAGGTAAATTTGAAATTAATAAAAAAACTATGTAAAAGAATAAGTTTGATTATTTTAATGAATCAATAATTTCAAAATTGGAGTTACCTCCATTATTATGATTATTATTTTTTTTAAGTCAGTTCTTTTTCTGATGTTACTTTATTTTTAAATAATATCTAAAAGTAAATACACTAATAATATACAAAGTGCAGACGAATCTTAAAATAAATTAGAGTAAATAAATATTATAAAACATGACCAAAAAAAAAAAATAAAGGCATCTAGAAAAATATTATAAAAATAGCTAAGAGTGATGGACCATTGATTAGGGTTCTCCTAGGGTTCTCTTATTTCTTCTTCACATAAATCCGTCCACTCCTATTTGTTTTTCAAGACACTTTGTCCCGATTAGGGATTAGGGATTAGGGTTATGTGTTTGGATTTTTCTGGCTTAGTTCTCTATTACTCTCTGAATTTTAATTTTTAGTTTTTAATGAATACTTGCTTTCTTGTTTTATTTTATTCTGTTTGTTTCGGATGCTTTTGTTGGAGGGATGAAATAAGAGAAGACGAATGAGATCAGAGGCACCAAATTAAGTGAAATTAGGATTTGGCCGGAGATTGAAAATAGATTGTATTACTGCACCACGTGGAGCATTTTTCTTCATTTGTCTAAGTGGACAGATCTTGACTTTGTGTATGAATAAAATACTGCAATGAATATTTAAAACATTGACTGTATTGGATGGTAAATCTAAACTTTTTGTGTTGCAAAATTCAGAACATATTTTTTTTAAGGTGGGGTCCTCAATCACTTGAGATATCCTCACTTTTCGGTTTGCTTGTCGTAGCCAAGAGCCTTTTTGTATGAAGTGGCAAGTGAATTGTAGTTCAAGGTTTAATCCTGGTTTGAGAATCAACAAGTCGTAGCAAAATGGATTTTATGATGTGGCTGCCCAAGGCTCCAAGGTGATTTTAAAATTGAAATGTAGACGAAAGGCATTCAACCATTGATGAGAAATCAAATGATAAGATTTTAAAAAAATGTCGGAACATGTTTGTTCCTATCAATGAAAATATATTAACCAAGTCAACAAAATTTAAAACCAAATAATTCAATTCAACTTCTACTATTGTTTGCTTCTTGTATGGAACATCATATATAATTTCAAGTATGATGTTTGTGATATCCATGATATTTGTTAAAAAATTTATTTATTCTTGAACAATAAATGTTGCATATCTAGTGTTGATTTAAAATAGTTTACCACTCAAGTGCTAACAACGTAAAAATATTGTAACATTGATACCTTTTCAACGCGGTATCTCCTGACCATTTAGTTGGAATGTTGTGTGAATTATTATTTAGGGCGCTTAACATCTCTGCTGTTATTTTCTTTAAATAACAAACTAAAACAAGAATGTCAACAACATAGAAGTAATGCAGCCAAATCTGAACATAAAACCCTAATCACAAGTATGTGAAATAGAAAGAGGGCTCGGGGGATTCTAGGAAGAAGAAAGAAGAAAAGCCTTATCAACAGTTTGATTATGTTGTGCTCTTGTCCTTCACGGTTTTCCTATTTTAATAATGTTGAAATGAAGTTTCTAGATTATTAATATTTTTTTAATGTTTTCTAATATTTATTTGTCTTTACTTATTTATGCTAATTTATTCTAAATTCTTCTTTACTTTTTATGTCATGCAGTAGTGTATTCTAGTTTTTGGATTAGGGAATGTTTCGCAATTAAGTGTTAGTTTGTTTTTAGTTGTTAGCTGATTCGATTAGCTTGTTTGAGTAGTTGAATATATTAGCTGTTTTGCTAAAGTATTTGGTAAAATAGCAGTTTTGTATTAGTTGTTTATACGTAAAATTTTAAATTAAGGATATTTTATATTTTCTAAAAATATTTAGTTAAGCTTTCGGTGGGTAGGCTTTTTTATAATATTTATTTTTATTATTTTTTAAATATTTTGTAAAAAGTAATGTAATTTTATTGAAAAATATATTTTTTCATTAAATATAGTATAAACGAAAAAATAAAAATTATTAGTATATGTATTTTTATTATAATACTTTTTAATTAATATTTATTTTTGTTAAACTTATAATTTTAAATAAATATATTTATTTTTAATAAAAATTTATGTGATAAAATATATATATATGAATTAATAATATTAATACTTTTTTCTATCTATATTTTAACAAATTTACAAATTTTTATAAAAGTGAATTCATATGTTATTAGAAGAAAATATTCAAATATTTAATAAATAGTGTAATAAAAAATATATTAATATATATGAAAAAATTAATTAATTTTAAAGGCAAATACCGAATAAAAAAATTTAATAAAAAAGGTAATCTGAAATATTGAGATATATGCCGTGTTTCCAAAAACTATTTTTCAAACACAGTACGATTCATTGTTTTTATTTCATATACATATTTATCAATAATTTTTTAATCATTTATTTAAATTAACATATAATAATATCTTATATATTATTAGTAATGATAAAATAGCCCCTCTTAATGGAATGATCAACAAAGGGTTAAGATTTTTCTATTACTTTATACACTTTAAAAACTATCAAAACATTGAAAAAAACACTTTACCCATATTATTTATGAAATCACAAATGATAAAATATTACAAGAACAACGATTCAAAAAACCCAGTCAGTTATATTACCTAATATTTGATTTTCGAACAGTTATAAGTATACCACCTTGTTGTTCAATAACTTAATTCTACAAATGAATATAGACGAAATAAGTATTATTCAATCATGAGACACTTAATTTCAAAAAACCTATTGGTACAAACCTATGCACCTTATTTACCTAAGAAAATTAGAAATACAAACTCACAATTTACCCTTTAATTTCTACAAGAAGATCATCCAACAACTAAGAACACTAAAAACCTAAAAATCAATTTTCATAGTTATACAATAAAACTCCTAGGTTTTCATAGCATCGTGGGCAGGAAGATTCACACCACCAATAACTAGGAGAAGCACAAGCTTTGACCAGCGACGGTAGAGCAGAGGGCGGAGTAAAAAACTTTTGCTTGCTTGTGAGTTTTGCATTGTTTTCCAATAGTAAAATTTTGATATATCTTATTACTATTTTGTTTTGATTTTCTTACAAAACCTTTATAAATTTTATGAAGAAATAAAAATATTTAAAATTTGTTTGACAAATTGTATTTAAAGGTATGGGACAATGGACTTTAGAAATTAGGACAACATTTTATTTTATATATATATACTTTCTTAAGTAGAAATTTCTACTTTCCCTTTGTATTTGGAGATAAGTTCGGAGTGTTTGGAACTTTAAGGTGATTTGAAAGTAATAAAAAAGTTAGGTAAAAAGTATGTTAGATTATTTCGATGAACG